CACATTGAAAATATCCCAGAAGGACAGAGGGGGGATGATGCACTGATGGGGGCAGGGAGAGAACCTACCTAATTTCCAGGGATATGCCCCATACCTGTCATAATCCTCAGGGCATGGGTCCAGGAGTACAGCTTGCTCAGGCTGCAGCTCAGTCCCTATAGAGCCCGGGGTCAGGATGTGAGGACTATGGACTTGCACTGTAATACGAAACATATTTTCTTGGCCCTCTGCCCAGCTTTGCCCTAACCAGTCCTCTACCTGAGATTCTTCCCCTGAATCAGATTTTTCCTCCGGCTGACATTCTTCCTTTGGATCAGATTCATTTGCTGGCTGAGATTTTTCCTGCAACTCAGATTCTTCCTCCGGCTGAGATTCTTCTTCAGGCTGGGATTCTTCCTCCGGCTCAGAGTCTTCCTCCTGCTCAGGGTTTTCCTCTGGTGAGGTTCCCGACCCCGATAGTTCCTGGTTCTTATCTTCCCACGGTTCTCCTTCCCAGTGTTGCATCGCCAGTAATCTATTTATTAGGAAAGCTGCCTTGAAGCAAGCAAAGCAGATCTTCATCTGGTCTCCGTGGACAAGCTGGTATAGCCATTCCGCATAGAGGCAGGGCATGCCCTTGGACCCATAGCGAACATTGACTGGGGGACACATGACCAAAAATCCTGCCTGTAGCTGATTGTACAGAGAGAGGAAGACTTGATTGATGGTCTCAGGATCTGGAGACCGTGTGATGCTGGGGTCAGTTGGAATCGGCGAAGAATAGAAGAACCAAGAAAATGGGGTGCAGTTGGGGTCTAGGGCATTTTGGGCTCAAAGCTATGGGAAAGTAGTGCGAAACCTGGGTGCCATTTCAATGAATACGCCCTTGAAAACGTGAACAGACTTGAGATTCTAGAAACTTCTCCAGCTTCATCCTTGCTCTAATGTCTGGGGAGCTAGAAAGGAAAAGAAAAAAATGAGCCTTTGGGTCCCCTGGGGGCTGACTGCTGAGCTCACTGAAGTGGGGGAGGGAGAGCTGGGGTCAGGTGCCCTAGTTCTCACCTTGAACAGATTGGGGAACCCTTAACCACAGACCTAGGTACAACAGCTTCCTCAGGCTTCATGACCCCAACCTCACACATGGGTGTGGCCACCCAATGAAGGTGGCCCACCCAGACCAATATCCACCCTCTGAGTGCAGGTGATCCCACCCACCAGTGCCAGCCACTGAGTCACCCTGCGCCCCTCACCCCAGGTGTGCATGTGGCCTGGCGCCCACTGACAGTATGCATGCACTGATTCCTTGCTTGCATCCCTCTGCCTCCTGTAGGCAGCATTGAGGTGCCCTGTGTCCCTGGGTCACTGTTCCTCAAGGCACACGAGCACCTGGGCTCGCGGCTCATCTTGTTTGGATAAGAGGATTCCTTCTTCCCTGTCTCTTTAGCAAATGTTCTTTAATACTCGTGAAACTGCTGACTTGGCCCTTGACTGAGTTTTAAACATATTCCCCCCACATCTCTGTGTCTTTTCTTATTAAACAAGTTTTGCAGAAATTCTTTCTGGATATTTGTAAGGATTTTGGGATTCCTAGAATAATGAGGCAAAGGATACAGGGATCCCTTTGTCCTCTCTTCTGAGTTTGCCCTCCCTGAGATCTGTTTGTTTAAATCTGGGAGCAGCGCTCTGGGTGTCTTCACTGCAAGCAGGTGCTCACTGTGTACTCTGGACATCCCCAAGGTTAGGACATGTGTATGATATGCCCCTGCCACGACAGGTCCTTGGCACCATTTCACTGTCTCTACATGTGGCCCTTGGCACTCTATTCTTACCATGAACTAGAATCACTGACATGCATTCTGCAATATTTTACCCTATCCAGAATGTCACATGCTGGTCATAAGCAACGAGAAGCTATCTCAGTTTCCTTCCTTGGGAACAAACAGCGAGGATTCCCAGGTGACCTGTTGCAGTAGGAAGCAAGGTTCACTTCAGGGTTTGGTAACACTCCTTTAACTGAATATACCTCTGTTTATCCACTCACCTCCTGAGGAATACCGTGCTGCTCTCTGGGAGTTTGACAAGAAAAGCGGCTATGTTCAGGTGTGAGCTTGACAGATACCTGGAACTCTTCACAGGCCCGGTGTAGTCTCCTCCTCCTCGCCCCTCTCCCTTATCAACCTTGTGTCTGTGAGCTCTTGAACTGCTCAGCTGTCTCCTCTTCAGCTTCAACTGGCCAGCTGTCTCTCCTTGGTCTTGCCTTTGGGCCTTACTGTTCAACTGCCAACACCTGTGGGGTTGGATTGATCCATGCCCCCATATTATTGTGTATTTGAACACTTAATTCCCAGTGGGGCTGCTTTGGGGATGTTTATGGGGATGCATTCTTACTGTAGGAAGTGTGTCTCTGGCTGTGGCCTTTGAGACTTTGAGAGTTCTTCACCCCACCTGCTTCCAGTTTGCTCTCTCATCTTCATGTTTGTAGCTGGAGATGTTTTCTCTCACCTTTCTGTTCTGCCTTCCCCTCAGATGTCTTCTCCTCTGTCAATGTGGTTTGTGTGCACTCACTGCCGCTGAGACGGTTTTCCGTTTTTAGGATGAGAGAAACACTTCCACCTCATTCATTGTTCCAGAGAAGACATAGGACAGATAAAAACAGAGTTCTTTATTTAAAACCTTTATTTCTTTATTTAAAACCTTTGCCATTCCCTCCTTCTACATAACCAGCCTGTGTTGCTTACCTTGTCCTTCCCATTGCCTTCTGCCTGTTCTCTCTGACTGTGCGTGGCCCACACACAGTCAGGCCCTGTGCAGGGAAATTTCTGCAGTTCCCTGGGTGTCCCTGACACCACCTGGTGATTTAAGTGGTCAGTTATCAATGATAGAAAGTCCTAATCCTAGAGGAATCTTGCTGACAAGCTAACCTCATGATAGGATCTGACTATGAGTTTCCTTTGCTTTATTGTTTTGTTTTGTTTTTTTCTCTGAAACAAGGTTACTCCCTAGTCTAGGCAGCTAGCGTCAAACTCAAGATCCTCCTGCACTGGGTTCCTGAATAAGGGGATTACAGGTGTTTGCTATTACCCACTTCAAGCATTGCTCTTTAACTAACTATGAGTGTCTCTTTTCTTCCTTGTCTTCAGGGGTCTTAATTCCTGATACACAGGGTCTGATGCTCATTTTTGGAGAAAGGACATCACACTGCTGAATAAAGAACACAGCACAGCTACAAGAGCTAGTGCCAGGATAGGCTCCAAAGCTACAGAGAAACCCTGTCTCAAACAACCAAAAACCATAAAAAAAAAAAAAAAAAAAAAGAACACAGCACAGTAAGGAGGTGGCAGCTAAGTTTTGGCTTCATTGGCCTGGATCTTGTGGTCCGTGTGTAGCTAAGTGTCCCTTCCCAACTTGGTCTGTCCTGTGTGTGGTTCGTCCTCTCTCCCTCCTGGTGAAGCATCCAGCACAGCACACAGTTTGCAGTTGTTTTGTTTTCGTTATTTAATTTGACTTTTATTGTTGTGTGTGTTTGAGATTGTGGGTGCACACATGCCATGGTACACATGTAGACTTTCAGGAGACCAGTCTTCTTCCATGTATGATCACTTAGGTCATCAGTAAGAGATTTTACCTATCAAGCCTTCTCATTGGTCCTTAAACTCTGTTTTTGTGCAAAACCTTTTTGGGGGAGGTTTTATTTTGTTTTGTTTCTTTTGTTAGACGGGGTTCTCTGTGTCTCCTTGGAACTTGCTCTGCAGACCAGAATGGCCTTAAACTCACAGAGACCCTGGTGCCCGCCTCTAGCAGTCAACAATTTTTTAGGGGAGAAGGTTGGGGAGAAAAGGTTTGTCTGGCTCACACTTCCACATCACAGAAGAAAGTCAGGACAGGAACTCAAACACGGCTGGACCTGGAGGCAGGCAACACTCTCAACAGCTGAACCACATTCTCTCGCCTCACAATCAATAACAAAGGAAGAACAGAAAAGTATTAACAGTCACACATGTGTAACAACCTGCACAGGTAAGAAGGTCATGCACCAGAGAACACTTCAAAGCTTCAGGACATAAAATGTGGAGATAAACCCACCTATGGTTTGCACTGGGAAAACATCCACGTCCATTGCAGATGATGTGTGAGCCTGCAGCCTCCTGATTACTCAGCCAATGAGGAAAGAGGGGAAGAAACCACCTTGCAGGGTTATAAATGCAGGGCACACTCCACCCTGAAAACCCCACCCACGTGTGTGCACACAGCAGGGGCTTCCTCCTGCCCACGGATTTCCCACAGACCACACCCAAACACCTGTTTTCTCAGAAATCCTTTATTTATTTAGTGGGAAAGAATAGTTAAAGCGGCTGCTCTCTGACTCAGGCAGAAAAACAGCAGCAATGGCCTGCACGTGTCATGTTCAGAAGAGGAAAAGGGAAGTCTGCTGGAATGGGCTAGGATGCAGTGGAGAATTTGGATTGGCCATGTTCAGTAGGCAAAGCAAAGGGGGCTTTAGCCTGCTGGACTTCTGTCCTCATCCTCAGGAAGGACTCTGACATAGGAAAGTATTTATGTACGGGAACAGGCCTTGTTGCTAGCCTTGGGGATGTAATCTAACAGGTTTGTTTAGCTAGGCAGAGGGAAAGCAAGAAGGACAAGGCCTGCTACATCCATGCTTTCCACGCTGGCACCGAACAGAATCTGTTCAAAAAGTTTAAAATTACTTTGCCTAAAACAACTATAAAGTCAAATTGGACTTTGAATTGTTAAGGACTGTTAAGTATTCTTGTTGTAATTACCAGGCCTTGTACAATTTTAATAAAACTACTGTTTGTGCAAGTTAATATAAGTCGCCATGTAGCACAAATTCTATTTGTCTTAATAATAAAAATCCAGAGTCAGATATTGAGGTAAATGCAGGAAGAAGAGGGCTGTAAGAATCCAGTCACTAAAGAGACTTTTGACCTCTACCAAATCCTCACTCCAATGGGGAAAAGATTCTGTTCCCAATGAATCTGCAAACTGAATGTTCAGACTGAAAGCCCTGATTTCCTGCCTCCTCCCACATTATGTTCCTCTCTCTGCCCATCCATATAACTCCTGTCTCCACCTCAGTGGTGCTGGAATTAAAGTCATGTGAAACCATGTGCTGGTCTCAAAATTGAGAACTCCGTTTCTCTTTCAGAATGATTCAATATTGTATAGAGTCCGGTTTTATCCCATGTTTTTTCAGACCCGGGCCAGCTGGCATGCATTATTTGTTAGATCTTAAACAAAACATCACATCATCAGTTTAACTGCTGATTTTGCTGTTGTAAACTAAAGCTTGTTTTGCTCAAGACAACCTAATGATCACCTGTAAATAAATGAAATTTTTGTTCTTTGCCTTTATAAATCCCTGTTTTATGGGACTGGGAGCTACATTTGAGTATAGACCGGGAGCCAGTATATGAAGCAAAAGTTTCTTCTTTGTTACAATGTGTTAATGGTAAGACTGGTGAATATCTGAAGGACCCCATGATCCATTAATGTATCACTTCCAAGGCAGAGAGCCTCCAGCTGTATCGAAGTGCAGAAAGCTAGCTGTAAGCTAGGAATGCCACTGTAATTCTCTTTACTTTGACCATGTGTGCAATAGCTATATGACTGAAGTCCTGCCTTTATTTCTAAAAAAAGAAAAAACTATAGTGAGTGACCTGGAATTGTAAGCCAGGTTTGTTGTGGAGTGTGACCCTGTGGCTCCTCACAACCAGAATAGATTTCCCCTCAGAGCCACAACACTTCCACTGGGGAAATCTTTCCCCTCAATACTGTACACCAACACTTCCCTTAAACCATGAGGGACAGCACAGGAACTGTCTCCTACCTGAAAAGTAAGCAACACGGTCTGGTTATATGGGAAGGAGGGGTATGGCAGAGGTTTGAAATAAAGAACTCTGATTCTATCAGTCCCATGCCTTCTGCGGGACATGGATGAAGTGGTAGTGTTTCTCTCACCCTAAAACGTTAAAACAATTTCAACAGCATTGAGTGGACACAGAAGCTTGTCTAGCTGAGGCATGGCTTTCCCAGACTAGTGCCGGCTCTTGGCAGTGCTGTGACTGGATCAGGTCTTCAGCTGGTATTGAGGAGGTCCTCTGCAGCAGCTGATCTGTCCTCAGAGTGACCTTGTCTACAACAGCCAGGCTGACAGGAGGGCGTTCCGGTCAGGTTTGTTGTCAAGAACCCAATCAAGCCTGCATGACCAAGAGAGATTTCTCTCAAATTTCTGCTCTTCTTGGCAACTTAAGCTACTTATAGAAAGCATTTATAATCAGATGCCATGCCAAACACTTATAAAAAGCTCGAAACATAGCTAACAATTTTATTACTGGTGAACAAACTTAGTAGTATTGGCCAATGTTTGCTAGTGTTTAATCCTCCCCAGTGCGCCAGGGGAGGCAAGTATGTCTGGTCTGTCTCACAGCACCCTGACCTTGGTCCCCCCCAGCAGAGCATTTACAAAATGCATCTCTCTTCTTTAAGCTTTCTAGCCTTGAAATTTAATTCTTACAGCTAGACAAACTAAGACAAGAGGCAAATCAACAAAAGCATCTAAGAATGAGGGCCTGGGAATGTAGCTTAGCTGGTAGAATGTGTGTCTAGCATGCACAGAGCCCTGGGTTCATCACCAGCACTAAATACCCGAACATGATGGTGTGTGTGTGTGGGTGGGTGTGGGTGTGATACCAAGACTCAAGACATGGAGGCAAAGCATCAGGAATTCAAGGTGCACACAGTGTATTGGAAGCCAGCCGAGGGCACATAGAGTTCATCTCAAAGACAAAAGAAAGAAAGCAAAAGAAATCTAAGAATTAATAGAATATAAAGGAAATTAAAGTTCCAAGACAGATATGGAGGCTCCACCTCTCCCTGAAGGACTCAGTGAAGTGTTAAACATTGTTAAAACCTTTTCAAAGTTACTGTTAATGGCAGGCTCATCAAGACTTTTACTGTAAGCTCTGCCTGAGGTGCTTATTTTCCTTAAAAAAAAAAAAAAAGAACTTGTTGGGGATGGAGCAGGCAATTTCATTCGATAATGTGCAGCTCTTGGATTCTGACCGCTTTGAGCAAAAGGACTGTCAGTCAAGTAG